CCTAGCCAACCGATGCAAAAACCGACCGAAAAATCCAAAGTTCTCCAAAATAAAAACCAAGTGTTTAAAACACTTATTTGATGTATTTGGCTAAGAAATCTAAAAATCACGTCATTTGGGTAAAAACCACGGCTAGCCAAGTTTACGCCGTTTTGCGTGGTTTTTGTCAAACGACTAAAAGCGAGAGATGGTTTTCAAAGTGTTTTTGTTGGAGAACCGTTTAAACATGCCAAAGAGTGAAAGCAGATCATAAAATGCTGAAAACCACTTGGTTGGTTCGGATGCCAAAAACCAAACCCGACAACCGAAAGCCGAACGCTGGTTTCTGAGAGCCGAACACTGGATGGCTTGGTTTTTGGTTTGGGTGAACACCAAGTGTTTTTAATGACTTAAACAAGTTTAAAAACATTTTTATAATGTAAGAAATGCAATGAGAGTTTTTTGCCTAAAGAGCCAAGGTGTAAAGATTGGGTCGGTCTTTATAAAGACCGACTCAATACTATGATTAAGGTCTTCGTTCTTGGTCTTCGTTTAGCTCTTGCTTTTATCTTCGTTCTTCGCCTTGTATATTCAATGTTCGACTTGATCACGGCGGTTTGGCATTATCAAAACCTGTTACAAAAACGAACACGGCTTTAGTACGAAAACGTGACAAGCCCGTGTTTCAACACTTTTAAATAGTGAAGAGTGTAATTATTTATTGGAGGGAGCAAGTATTAATGTTACATTTGTATTGTGTGATGTTTTGATGTTCCAATGATGACTCTAAATTCAAATTTTGAATTTGTGAAGAGTTAGGGGTGCAAAACCGAGTCTAAAACAATATTTTGTTTATCAAACGACATAGAAAATATTTGTAGAAGATATTTTTCTTGCAAAAAAATATTATTATATCAAAATTGATATTTTGATAAATATTTGACACAATTTTTATAATAGACTCAATAAAAATGTTTTTGGATAGATAAAATAATTTTTTCACTGGCTCTATAAAGTAATATAGTTTTTATATAACCCTCAAAAAATAAATTTATGGAGTGGAGAATATTTTATCATCCTTGCAATATTCTTAAGATTTGAAATAAATAAGTATTCAGAAATCTCGATCTTCACTTCAAATTATTCTTGTGCATAGATATTCTTTTGTTTAAGCATTATGCGCTTAGGAATTTCATCCGTTTCTCGAAATAAACTCTTCTTTGCTTTTTTGTCCCGAAATAAATTTTCATTTCTCATGTGTTTTCCATTTATTAACGCTTGAAAAATTACAACACTAAATAATACAAAGGGGTTTGAACTCATGTCCAACAAAGTTGAAGTCAAATGACCTTGTGCGCAATTGCTTAAAAAATTAGATAGCTACTAATGACACAAGTGGTGACCATTCTTTTTAGGAGCTTATTTCAGATGAAATACTAAAGTTAAAGGTGCTTGGTTTGGAGCACTTTCAAGAGAGCATACGAGTGATGACAAAGTATGCAGTATGCTGGAAAGACGTTGATTGGTAGCTTATGAGGCTAGCTACCAATCCTCAAGTGGTGGTAAATGGGCCCTGATTCAACAATTTAAAAGTTGACCAATCCAAATAAGATAATATCTTCTGAAAAGTTTATTCAGGATTTGTTAGGTGGAGTCTTGAGGGCTTTGGATTGGTTTGTCAAAAATAAAAACCTGAATGTATCATATTACCCATGTTTATAAACTTCCCCCTTTATATTATAAGTCCTTTAAATTAGACTTCTCAATGCTTTTGAGGGAAGATTCGTTGAATGATTCATATTGACGGGAAATAATACGTGGCTCGATCCACATTTTCCAATTATTTACAAAAAACAATCAAATCGGATCTGTTTAATAAAATAGAGGAATAAGAGAGTATTCTCCCGTAGATGCTCCTACTCCTATAAAAGGAGGACTCTCCTTCATCAAAGGGAGACCATTTATTTTTCCCCTACTCTTGCCCACTACTCTTTCTCTCTCTAGATTGTGTGTATTTTCTTCTTCATTGAGCTTATAGCTCCACCACAAATGGCTTCTGAACTTAAAAAGTGTACAGTGTACAACCCCCAATTGGCAAGGTACCGCCAAAAAAGGTCCGTAGTTTTCTTTTGATTGGGTTTTCACGTCAAAATTCTCGTGTTTGTATTTTGGTGTATTTTGTTAGACTAGTTTATTATTCTTGCCCGGCTAAAAACGATATACCGGCCGAGATAATTTACACCATCACATACTAGTATCATTTTCCTCTCATCTGTATAAATTATAATCAAACAATTTTATACTCCCTCTGTCTAGGAATAAATTTCTCGGTTTGGCTTTTAGTCATTTTTAAGAGTAGTTGACTATTGGATGAAATGGTCTAAAATATCCTCCCTTTCTAGCCCTTAACCCCTGCACTGCCAATTGCCCAATCTAATCTCCCCCAAACCCTATCNCCACCAGTGTCACCCCTGCAAACCCCGCCAGCACCCCATCGCCGATAGCTCCCACCACAACCGTCAGTCCCTCCATCACCGCCATCCCCCACCCCTCACCATCATAGATCTAGAAGAAAGAGAAGACCGTACGGGAAGGGAAGAAGAAGCAGATGTGGAGGGTGATGGAAGCACATATTTGTTTAGATCTAGAAGAGGTGGGAGAACTCAAAGAAAGAGAAGACCAAGGAGGAAGGGAATAAGAAGAAGACAAGATGCGGAGGGTGTTGAAGGCACAAATTTGCTTAGATCTAGAAAAAAGAAGGGGAAGAAGAAGAAGAAGAAGGGGGATAGATCTCCGTGTGAAGAAAGAAGGTGAAGAAAGTGGAAGAAGAAGAAGAAGAAGAAGAAGAAGAAAGAAAGTGGAAGAAGAAGAGGAAGAAGAAGAAGGGAGAAAAGAATCGGAGTGGGAGATGGAGGAGAAAGTGAGAAACTGAGAAGAAAAAAAAGAAGAATGAGAGAAAAATGGGTGGGTGAGCAAAAAAGGAGGAAAGAAGGAAGAAAAAAAAAGAAAGGAAGAAGAGGGTATTTTTGGAAGAGTTGTGAAAAAAGGTAGGGTGGGCAGATTTTTTTCGGATGGGAAAAAAGATAGTGGGAAGTTTATTCCTGCACCGAGGGAGTATTTGCTTAGACTTTGTGAAATGGCAAATGAAAAGTCTAGGTTATACTATTTCTCTTCTTGTAAGTTAGAATTCTAATGTAGGATATGATGTATGTGTATGGTTTACCCCAGGTTTTGTGGGTGTTTGAGGGTTCATAAAAACACTAATTCTTTCTCTTACAACCTTTACCCACCATTGCTGATAACTTTTGATCACCACATCTACAGAGACACTACATATTTATATAGGATTCTTACACACAACTACACAGACAAAGCCACAAACTTACAAAACATCGTGTCATTGCATCACATAATTTATTTGTGTGGGGTGTTAGTATTTGAAGTTGCATATCCATTATGTGCTTGTGAAGGGTTCATACACATTTGATTTTTCAATGGCAAATACACCTCAGCTTGTGTCTGAGTCAGATGTCATGGTTGTGGTCTATGAGTGGTTATAGAGACATAGAGTCAGATAGGTAACTGGGATTTCTTATTACGTAAATAATAAAGTGGTTTTTATGTCGGAGGATCCAACAAAATCATTTTAGCCAAAAAAAATTGAAAAAAAGAAAAGAAGCTCCACAACAACCAAATACACTACAAAAAGAAAACCATGTCTTCATTTTTATGACAATTCCATGTGCTCCTCCTCCCCTTGGGAAAATAATGTTGTGATGATCTAATGTGAGATGGAAAGTTGTAGTGACCATCTCTCTCTCTCTCTCTCCCTCCTTGTTTGTTATAACTTATGAGGGAATCCATTCATTTGTCCTTCTGTTAACTTGTAGAAGATGACTCCAAGTCTCTAACAAACTTCTTCGCCTGCCATGTACACGGAATCATCGACCAACTCATTCAAAGAGATAAATTATGAACCAGCGCAGAACGTGAAAGGGGAAAGACAAAATCTTGAGCCAACTTGAAAGCAAATACGGATTAATAATTACACCATCGCTTCCAAAAGGATTTTCCCGTGTGAAAATGATGCATTTCAAGATTCGGCTGACAATTGATGGAAAAAGTTATTTGTTGAGGAAAATTACTATTTAAGGAAAATCTTAAGTTGGGTAGTTGAGGAATAAAAGTCACATTTCGCTAGTACAAATTAAATGATTTCATGACAACAAAACTGGTATATATAAAGGTGATTTTGGAACAAAGGGAGGATTGAAAAGTCCTTTACCTGCTCCAGCGTTAGAAACATGATCACATTCCATGAGCCAAGACGGCCAAAATTCGGTATGAAGCCTTTGTAGAATGCCAGTGGTCCCTGAAGACACAACACGAGTTGCACGCAAACTAACATCGAATTTGCACAGATATCGAGAACTGTTTATAAGAACTAACAGAGGGAGAAGACATATACATCATTCTTCAAGGTCTTCACAAAGCAATCCAAAGTACTTTTGTATGCTGAATCTCCCATCATTCTTGATTTTACCTGATATACATGATTTCCCTACTTCAAAACATCGTAAAAAGATTCGGCTATTGCCAGAAAGCCAGGGAAACAATGAAAAAATAAACAAGCAGAAGGCAACCTAAAAGGAATCTGCAGATATTGACAATAAATTAAATAGGGAAAACATTTGTAGAATACCACATCGACCGGGGAACCTATGCAGACAGCAAAGAAACCAGCTCCAAGACCAGATAAGAGATGAGTAAGGATATTGTCAGTGAACCCAGGAATCTTAAGAATTGTCTGCAGGGAAAACGTAAACAAACAAATAAATTTAGTTTGGATAAAGTTGATTTTGTTCATTGCCAATGGAGCTAAAGAGACAGTTTAATCATTTCTAGACTCTAGTATATAGTGGATATATCAGAGTAGGACATAAACTTCCTCTGCTTCTTAATTTCCATGTAGAGTCTGTTCTTTTGAATTTACTTTTAGTTAAATTCAATTTAATTAATGCTCTGTTTCGAAAAGGACGCAAATGAAATGAGTTCTGGAAGTCATTTTCCCCATTTCCGGTGTTTGGCAATGCAAGAAAACCAAAGTTATGAAAATAACCTTTGGTCAAACAGAAATTGAACCAAGTCAACCAACATATCCGGATGGAATTTGTCATCTGTTAATTTTTTCCAGAAGATAATTTCCGCCTCGTCACTTCACTCTCCGCTCTATCTTTCTCACTGTGCTCTTTGGTCTCTCTCTCTTTCCAAAGACAAAGCACGTGCGGCTTTCCTCCTTTAGCTCCGTGACCTCCCTGGTGACCTTCCAAGGACAAAGCCAACGCTAAAAAACCTAGTTATGTTTGGATTGGGAAGATGAAACACAGATGAAGCCCATGATCAGGAAGACGAAACCCAGAGCACTCCAATTCTTTTCTGATTTTTTTTTCTGAGTTTTGTTTGGGATTTGATCTAAGACTTCTACATTTTGTTCAGTGTATCCATTTTGTTTGGATTTTGTTCAACGAAGCCAAACATCATAAAAGGAAAATGACTTCAAAAAATAACTCATTTTCAAAAGTCATTTTCCAAGAATCACTTTCTTTCTTTCCAAATGGAGGACCCTAAGTTCAATTAAGTTTTAGTTTAACACAGTTAAAAATACAACTTCCTTTCAGTTCACTTAAGATTACTTCAATTCAATTCATTTAAGTAAATTTTGATATAAAAAAAAGAATACATTCAAAGTTTTACGTAGTACATGCATCAATGTATCAATGATCTCACAAGAACAACTCTCTTCTTTAAGTGGTAAAGACTGTACATATTGACCGACCCAACAGAGCTGGGATAATGTTGTTGTGGGATATAGTTGATAGACTTGATACTCAACAAAAAATGCATGTGAAAGCATAGCACAAATACTAGAGATATTTATTGACAAATAACCTGCTTCACTTGGTCATAACTTGCTAATTCAGCCGCATTTATTATAGCATTTCGCCCAATATTTGGTCCAATTCCAGTCCACAGAGCGGCAACTCCTTCCTAAGGAATCCAGATGCACCCAGAATTGAGAACAAAGGTTATATAGCAAGAGGAGGCTCTTGTCTTTGGAAGTAAATAATGTGAGAGGTCAAGGTACGAAAACTAACTTGTCTCGCTATTGTAGAATAAGCATTTAATGCTCCAGAATAACGCCTTGGGACACCTGGAGGCAATTTTCCTTCAGCTTGAAGCCTCACCTTAACAAGATCAGTAGGGTTCGCAATTGCTATACCCAGAGCACCTGTTGGGTGAACAAGCAAAGAAACACACAAATGTGCAAGAAATAAAATTAACAAGTGCTTATTATAGGATATGTAGGATAAAATGCATGGATTTGGTTTATAAAACCCTGCATATTTGGAAAGACTAAAGCATTGCTATTATTCTCTGAACTTGAGCAAATGGAAATTATATAGTATGAGTCTGCAAATTACAAGGCTTCCTTACCAGTTGTGAGTCCAGCAAGTATTTTCTTTGAAAGTGGCACTTCCCCCACGTGATCTTTACCCACATAGAGGTTCTTCACCTGCTCAAAAAAAAGTGGAACAAATATATAAAAACCGCAAGGGTTTGTAAATAAAAATGTCACACAATATTTTTTAGAGATGATTAAATAAAACATACAGGCTCATACAACCCAATACGTAAGCCACCAAATAGACATTGACGGTGTAATCCGGGAATAATACCCTTCCATAGCGCAGCTAGACCTTCTTCCCTAGCAATTGTGCCAACTGTACCCAGCATTCCTCTGTATTTTGGGAGAGTAACTCCATCTCCTTCAACTGCTTTCTTTTGAAGCTGAAGCCTAACCTTAGCAGTATCCAACGGGATAGTACAAATCTGAACCGAGGATTATAATATATACAGAAAGCACTTGATTAGAGAAGAAAAAATGATTGAAAAAAAAACTTGCTGGAAATATGGAATAGCATCAGAAACATTTTCAGAACTGCAATTGATCACAATATTAGGCAAGGAGGAATGATATGATACAGAATTTTCCCATAAGCTTTTCTTTTACCCTCCTTGCATACTCGCACTTAGACTATTAGTGTGTTTGGCATTGCTTATTCAATTAGCATCCACTTATTGAATTAGCAAAAAATCATCAAATGGGTGCTTATTCTCACTGGTGATTAGAGAAGCAAGAAGGGTCGAATTGCAATTCGAGAGGCAAGACGCTGGAATCCAAGCATTCACAATTGCTATTGGAGAAGTAATAAGCTATAAGCACTTCCCACTCACAACTCTAAACAGGGCCTACGCAGCTCTAAGAGAGGGGAGATCCAATTTTTACATCAAAGGAATACTGTAGCACCAAAAACCACAGATTTCCTTAGAACAAGATAGGATATCACATTCAAAACAACCCCATTTAATTCATTCCATGGAAGGAAAAATCGATGGCAAAATGTCAGCATGAAAAGTATTAGCCACATGTTTGACGAGTTAAGCAGGACACAACAGGCACCAGAGTACATTGGACCTTCACAAAAACTGTAAATGCTCAGAATCTCTCACAAGTAGCAAGCAAATCAGTTACTCCAAATTAAGTGCAGTAAGATAAGCGCAGACCGATCAATTTCATTAGAAACCAGAAATGAATTATGAGAATCCATAAGTTGCAGGTAGATTGAGTAACGAAGAACAGAGAGATGGCAGTGGAATGAAATACCTCGGCGAAGCAAGCGGCGAACGCGCTACTGGCGAACGTGCCGGCCAGCGATATGTCTGATTTGGCCTTCCCGTGATCAACCATCGTTATCAATGACGGGAGCGCTAAAACCTAGCAGGTTTCAGCGCAGACAATCGAGCTCTGGATGAAAGAGTGAGACTGGCAATAGGTCACCAATCACATGAGAGGAAATATAGGAAGACGAGTTGCGAGGAAAGGAGAGCGAGTTGCAGGTTGGAATCTCGGAAAGCGTGCAAAAGGCCACGCAATTTGGCACGGCGATTTGTCCAATGGCTTAGCCCATTACGCATTCCACGTGTAACTCAACTGCAGGTGAAAGTGGGCATTATGCAAGTCAATCTCTTTTTTACCAAGGACATGAAGTCTTCTTAAGTGCAGCGTTGCATAGTTGGCAAAAGTAATAAATGTCAAGTAGGTAAGATTCGAGTTCGATTCTTTGTAACTGCATTGGGAGGCAAATATGCCAAGCATAAGGCTCCTGCAAGTTTCAGACAGTGGTGGATCCAGAAAATTTTTCCACTGGGGGCATTAAGTAAATTAAATTGAAAAGTTAAAGTTAAAAAACAAGAGACAATTCAATAGATAGAACCATTCTTCACACTGTATTCTAACCAATTACGAATCAAACCATTCTTCAATAAAATGCCTAGGACTATACCCAATCATTCTGCGTGAAAATTCATGGCCACGGGGTTGACATGGTCCTCTAATCAAATATTTTTTTCTTATTTCATCTCTTTGACTAGGGTGATAATCTAATATTCTTTTTCTTTTCGAAGGATCCCACGGAAGATCACTTAAATCAATTTCTTTATGTAGTGAAGGTACAGATGGTCTAGAATCGGGTGTCGAAGAAGTTTTTCGTCTAAAACAATTCTCCGTTATCTAAAAAAATAGAATGCGATAAACCTTTTTAGCAAATTTCAAACAAAAAATTGCAATAAATTATTTTAAAGTATATCAATTGACAATTAATATCTTTTTTGGATAAACAATTCTAATGTTTTATGATATAATAACAATAATAAACATAAGAAAGCAAGAAATTAAACGACTTCATTTCATAGAAAATAAAAAGTTAAGGGGCTGTTTTGCAAAGCTCTGAATGATTCATTAAGAGGCTTCCTCTGACCGATTAAGAGGCTGTATTGTTTGGTTGAAAATATTGACAGCTCTGAATGATACCATACAGCACTGCCCCACTCAGTTATGTACCGTCTCTGAATAAAAATAAAGACCCCCGCTACCCTCAATCCCTAATCCAATTTTGCATCGCCCTTTCCTTTTCGCGGATCCGCTCGCCATCGCTGCTCCCCCTCTGCAACCCCCGACCTCCTCTCCTCTCATCCTCTCTTCTCTTTCCTTTTCCCTCTCCTCCACAGCCCTACACCCGTCGCCCCATCCGTCTCCCTTCCTCCCTCGGTCATCCGCTCCTCCTCTGCACCCTCTGACCTCCTCTCCTCTCCTTCTCTCTTCCCTTTCCTTTTCCGGCTCCTCCGCACCCCTGCGGACGCCGCCCCATCCATCACCTTCTTCCCTCTGCATCTCTGCACCCGCCTCCCCCTCTTTCCCTCTCCTCTGTCGCGGTGCTTCCTCCCTCCTCTCCCAGGTACGTCTTTTGTTATTATTAGTTATTTGAACTTGTTATTGGTTTGTTGTATGTTGATTGTTATTGATTGTTACAGTATTGTTGATTGTTGTATGTTGATTGTTATTCATTGTTTTTGTTGAATGTTGAAATTGTCCTTGTCCCCACCCGATTGTTGTATTGGTTTTTGTTATGCAGAAATCGAGAATAGTGTTTGGCTAAACTCTAACAAAATTGGGTCCAAATACGTACTCTGTAACGCCCCGAAATCAGGCCCAAAAGAATTAATTAAATTGTTAGGGCAATTAATTACGAATTGGGCCCAATAAGGGGTTAAAATTATAATTTGGATTTTAAGCCCAACTTTTATGTCATCTCGTAGGAAATATTTTTTTGATCGCGTCGGTTCAGACGGTTCGCGAATCGGAGTTACAGAGCTCAAGTTATGACAATTTAATCAGGTATTTTGGGTCCGAAGCCCAATCCTTTTTGGAATGGGACCATTAAATAAACCTAACCACATATATCTTATCTTTTCGTCCGTCCTTTCTTCTTCTTTCTTTCTTTTTCTTTCTTTCTTTCTTCTTCTTCTTCCTTCTCCTTCCTTCTTCTTCTCTCTTCTCCGCCCAGCCA